AAAAAAAAAAGTGTCTGGGTTTTGTAAAATTCATCTAAAATATTTAAAATCTCAAAACAAGAAGTTATGACCTAAAGAAATTGATGCTAACTGTATTCTATGTTAATGACAGAATGAAAGCTTTGCCCCTAATTGCAAACAATGTGTACCTAAAGTGGACACTGTTTTATCACATTTCCTTGCTTATTTCTCTCCTAGCACTTAAAGCTACATAAGTGATTCTGTGTTTAGGTTACTGCTCCATCTGCCCTCAATAAAATATATACTGCATCAGAACAGGGACCCTATGAGTTCAATACTGCATCCAAATACCTAAGACAGTGCCCTGCACACTCAAGGTGCTCATTAAGAATGAAGACCAAACAATGGATGCACATGTGAGTAAACGTAAAAACGATAAAATAAAATTTTAAAAAGGGCAACTAGTGAATTTATTCTATTTCCCAATTATTATGCAAATGGCCTAGTCTTCTTTTATATTTTCTGTAAAATACTGCATTCAATTTTTGTTCTTTCATTTAAGAGTTGAGCACATAATATACAACATGATAGACATTCAGTATGTAAGATGAGTAAGATATGATAGTTCAGTACTTGAAATTCAGAATACATATGGAAACACTAAAATAATAAAATCTCTGTATATTTTAGCCATTATAATAGAGGTGTACACAGTTTTCTGTGGCATTAAGGATGGGCACCTAGTAATAGTAGGTAACACCTGTATATTAAAATGTGTTATATATGTTAAATATATACATTAAATACATTCCATTCACTTTTCTGAATTTTTATAACTATTACTCACTATGGCATTACAGTCACTGTATCAAGGGCAGACATGTATGCAATGAACAAGAACCTTAGGAATATTAAAAAAAAACAAAAAAGAATGAAGAATGAATGAAATCATTATACCTCAACTCTTCCTATTGTTTCCTACTGAAGATGGGAACTCACTTTGGTATTTGTTGGAACAGTAACATCTCAAATTTATCTTCAGTGTGGTTAAAAATCACAAATAAGGATATGTAACAATGATGCACTTATAATGATTCAGTTGAAATAATAGCCTCTGAAGTATGAAAAAGTTTCCTCTTCAGTACTCCTAAATGTCGCATCTTAGATATAGCCAAAGTTAACACGTTTGAATAAAAATTACATATAAATTACAAGACAATCGTGCAGATTTTAGGACAGCCTGCAAGTGCTTTATTAGAAAAACAAAAAACAAGTTGGATGTTTGATGACTGATTTGAAAGTATCTTGATAGGGATGCTCTATATTCTTTCTTATGTTCTATATCTTATATTCTTCAGTGCTTCTTTGAGTAGTTTTTTGTACTGTAAATCACTAATATTTTTATTATACATCCTAAATAAATAAAATTAAAAGATTTGGTAAGTATTCTCTCAGAAAGGATGTTATGTAAATGAAAGAGTGCTCTAATTCAGTCTTTTCTGTAGTATAATGCAGGTTACTTTGTGTGTGTGGTATTGGAGGATGAATTCAGGACCTTATACATGTGAAGCAAGTATTCTATCACTGAAATATAAACCCACCCCAGCCAAAGTCCTGCTAATAGTAGGCATGTGGCACTTTGCACAGATTGTCTCACTTTATTTTATACTTCTAATAAACCACACAGAATCTGCTCGCATGTATGCTTACACATTTCTATTTCTGAATACAGCACGAAGTATAAACTTTGAATGTCAGATCTGATTCATGAAGAAGGCACTGAGGTAGTAGGAACAGCATCAAGCTGGAGTGCAAGAAACAAAGTTCTACCCAAATTGTGGTCTCTAAACAAATGCTTTATGACCACTGGACTTTGAACTAATTTAGTTTCTAGGTCTTTTAGAGCTCTGGGAAGTGAGAAGTGAGACTTCCACTGATTCACAATAAAACCCAGTGTTTTGGGTTTTTTTTTTTTTTTTCTCTATATCCTCTTGGAAATATTTCCAAAGCTTTTAGAATGATCAACCAGCTTGTGCATGTATAGTTGTCTTTGTGCATAAATTAATACATGGTCATTTACAATATCAGAACACATGGAAAATGAGGAAGAACAAGAGGAATATAGAAATAAACGTATTCATGTGATTCCTCTAAGTATTATCATGCACCTGTCTTATGCAATGCAAAATTTACACAAAAATATTTGGCAAGAAGCAATAACTTTGAATTAATTGTCCAAAAGAAACATTTACCTTTTTGGGCTTTCATTGTCTGTTCTTCAATTTGCCTTAGGCGTTCCATTAGCTCTTCCTTTTCACGTTCTATTCTTTCCTTTTCCTTTTCTGCTATTTCTCTTTTCTTCTTTTCATTCTCTAATTGTGCCCTTAGAAGGAATTGCATTTTCTATGTTACAAATTAATAGACTGAAACATTTTAACAAAACCTAAGTACTAACTCTGAATCCACTGAGAAGAAACTACATCATAAATATTTTAAAGTTTTCATTACACTGATATTCAAAACATGGAATGGTTGAAATCATATAGGACAATACTATTACATGCACATATACATGTACTGGGTTCTAATGTATTATTGTGGGGTCACAATAAAGACAGTTGATGACATTTAAAAATACTAAAAACTTAAGACAACATAAGAAAATACTTAAAAGACAAGTTTAAATGCATGTTTTGAAGGTAATGGGTACCATATGCATGGTAAATCTAGTGAACTTTTAACAAATTATGTATTACCATTGTAAAGGTTAACTGCACAGCTGCCTCACCCCACAAAAATGCCTTCTTTAGATTAACAGGAGCTCTCCACTTGGGTAAATAACAAAGGCTTGAAAGAAACATGAAAACAGCCTGGCGGGCCACAACTTCCAATCATTAAAAATGAGTTAATACAAATTTTAACATCTGTAGTAGTACCCATTTATGCCTAGATACAAGATGACTTATCAGTTCTATCTCACTTGACAATTCTGTCAGAATGACACAGGCGTTTAATATTGTTCAAAGAGATCATCAGCGTTCCATGAGAAAGAATGCCTTGATCTTTAGCTATGCCTGCTATGGGACTGGTGAGACCAATTCATTCATCAAACATTTAATATTTCTACCATGGGTCAAACTCCATGTTGAGGACAACAACTAAAAAGATAAAAAACTGTGTTACTATGTTATATTAATACTCAAATCATTACTTCAGTGTCAATGAGAATATTATTTAAAAATCAATTTCAATTTTTTCTCCAACAGTTCTTCCATGTTTCACAAAAATACATCCCTGACATGTAGTGTCAATTCTGAATCCCAGGCACAAAAGCACATTTAGTCTCTGATGAACTTATAAGCAAAGTTTAACTATCATTTTAAAAATTCCTACAGAGTTTAAAAATCTGCCTCAACAGAGAAAGAGAGTCCAACTTTGAAGCAAACAGAGTTGCCACAGTGAACAAAAGACAGACTGCAGGTGACATGAAGTTTAAGGGACACTCTACTTGCAGCTGGTTTAACGAATCCTTACCACATAAACTAAGAGCCTAGAGCTCGTTCATGAAAGGGGAGCTCCACTTTGGTTCTGGGGTTCCCTTTGATGTGCTTTCTCAACACCTAGGAGAAAGAGGCAATGCCTACACCCTGGGACTTGAGACTCTGCAGCACATTCACCTCTTACAATTTCAAACAATCTACATACAGGCAGGGATTTAAGGAGCTGGGAGCTTCTTTCCCTCCAGAAGAGCTGAGTAACAAAGGCCTCTGGGAACATTTCCTTGGCAAAAGGGCTGAGTGGCCCCCAGAGGCTGCTGCCTACCATGTAAGAATGCTGGTTACCCTATCCCCATTCCCTAGCCTCTACAGTAATATCCAATGCTGTTATACGACCCCAAGACACCTGTGAAGACTCATAGTGCAAACCAAATTTTAAGACCTACAAGCTACAAACAATTCCATCCACTCAACCTTTCAGGTCCAGCTCTGGCATATGTAGGTTCTGGTTTAATGTAGCTTTTCCTAACTGATGTTTCATTTGTTCTTCTACATACAGAGATGGAGGTGAAGGAGATATGAAGACTGAAGGGAACGTGGCTGCAAGCAAGCTGGGGGCAAAAGTTATCTTACAACTGAAAAATGGAATGAGTATATAGCAGACATTTCACCTGATTATAATATATGAGAACCTTTTGCCATTTACTGTGCTGCACTCTTGTACACATTCCATCTCACCTTGCTACACCTATCCCCAGCTAATACTTCATTCAATTAATGCCTTGGCTCTCCACAGCACTTACCAATACCTAGGTTTTGTAGGCCTCTGTTACCGCTCTCTCAAGAAACTGGAAGACCTTACTTCTCTGCATACTATTCACCAGGGAGGATTAACTTGGTCTACTCACGGTCCCTGGGTATGCCCTACATATTCCTAGCTCTATGTTTGTCTTTGCTGCCTTCCTCTTTTGAACCTGTCAAGCCCTATGAACTTATAATTATTCCAACTATAGATGTAGATACTTTTATTCAGACTTTGGACTTGGAAATAGTTGTTTTGACCCAGTTCTATTTCAAAGACATAATAACATTAATAAACTATAAGTTTTCTGTATAATATGAAAGAAATTCAAATTATCAACTGGCACAATTACACTTTTCATAAGTGAACACTAAAAACTAACATATAAAGTATTACTTTTTGTAAAAACCCTTGAAGGTGAAACTATTATTTTCATATTAAGAGCAAAGAAACGAGCACAGGCTCAAAAGAGACTTGTTCACTAAGCATAGAAGAGGACTCGAATCCAGAGCTACCATGTTGCAAAGCCTGTGTACTTTGTATGGCATCAGCTATGTCCTAGTGATATAGGCAGCCAGCCATGATATAGAATCTTCCATTGCTAACCTACAATTGCACATGGGTATCTGACTTCAAATTATAAACTTCAGACCTTCAAAATTACAAATTTGGATTTACATTCAGTTGATTTGGATGTAAATCACTTAGGAACAATAAGTAGCAACCATTGTCATCACCAAAAAAGCCCCCAAATGGTGAGAAAACGCAGCCACATATATCAAATTATTTCAGGGAAAAAGGCCTCCTTGCTGCACTTCCCCAGCTAATGCTCTTGCCCAACACTAGTAGCACTGGCAGCACAGCTCCGAACGTTCCCCCACGTATGTCTGCTGGCTACTATGCCAGTGGGCTGGACCAAAATTGTTTCCACATACACAGCTGCCATTTCTCTCTGACCTATGAAGAAGGGAATGAATGAAGATGTGGCATGCCATTTCTGAAAGACTGCCAATCCTTAGGTGACTAGAATAATAAACACTTATGGAATGTGTACTATGGATAAAGCTGTCAATAAATGCTTACTAATGAAAATTTGTAAAATGTAGCCAAGAGAGGAACCACAGATTATGATGCCAAAAAAGAAACTGAGGTCTTCCACTTCCTTCTAGGCTCGCAGAGTGACTAAGAACATAGCATTATTAGTAAATGGTACTAATTAAACCTATTACATGTACTAGAAGCCACATATCACTCCTCTCTACGTGCTGAGAAATAAAGGACGTAAGGACAAGTAACTTAAGAAGGTAAATAATACCTGGTCATTACGGACAGCATTAATATGCAGGAACTGCACTGAAAGTAATTTTCATTTAACTCATGATAGAAGACTTCTAACGAGATAATGAAAGCTTTAAAGAAAAGATAAATTTTAAAATTTTATTTATTTTTTTATTTTTTACAACTAACAGCATATAAACCAGAACTACAATGTAATCCAAAGTAAGTGTTAGCAGTAAAAAAGGACAGAGCCCAAAGTAACAATCCAATTTACTACCTTTGAAAGTGGGGTCAGGAATTACTGAAAAACTTCATGCCCATATAAAAATGTCACACAGTTAACTTCCCTAAGTCAGATTCTCTACGGCAGACAATTTGAGTTAATACTGCAACAGAAGTAAATCAAACATCCAAATTACACAACATGTAAGAAAAAACTCAATAAACAGCAGTAATAGCAGAGTAAATAAACAGTAGGATCTGGCAGAGAGCCTACTTAATTACTAGATACAAATCATGTTAGTTCCAGTATTTTTAAATGTATTTATTTATGCATAACCTAAATTTTGGGTTTCTTTTTACAGACCTATTTCCTTAGGTTATCGTTTTGCTTTATAAAGATTTCCTTAATAAAGATTAACTTTAGTTTGGTCTCTAAAGTCTAAATTAATCTAGACTCAGACTTGGCAATTATTTTGTTGTGCCCAGTAATCTGGTGCCAGGGCTATAGGATTTTATTCAAAACTCTCAATATTTATATATTAAATGGTGTCTTTTTCAAGTCTTAGAGAAACACAGTAAGATCAGCATCTTTTTTGACTTTTCATTACATCAGTAATATTGTTTCAATTAAACATTCAGCACATTTCTATCCTAAAATTAAGCAAAATTTGAAAATTTCAAACTACAATAACACCAGTGAAATCATGCATGAAGAAAAGCACATCTGTGAAGTTATGAAAAGCTACTGTCTCAGAAACATCCTTCAAAGATTTCTACCTTGAAAAATTAAGACATACTTTAAAAGACAGTGTGATAATACCTTCAATTTTCATACTATAGTGTATGACTGAAACTGAGCAGTCATATCAGTTAAAAATGAAAGGCTACACGTTCATACCTTTCCAACTGCTTCTGATGCTTTTCCTCCCTCGCCTGAGCCTTCATCTGTTGTACTTCAATAGTGTCAGGCTTCCTTCTCCGCATGTACAGTTCATGGTTTCCCATACACAAGGCCAAAATCCGCTTATTGATCCTCAGACGAGGTGCATAAAAAACAAAATCCTGAACATAAAATATTATGAACTTAAAATCTTCCTGAAGAATAGTGTCTTTCACAAGAATACGTTAAATTTCCACATAACTTATGAATTCTGTCACATTACGTATAGTGTAGAAATCACACAGTTTCATTACTTCTAGTATGATATACTCCCACATCCCTGGGTCTCCACTTCTTAATGTCTCACCAGCTTTGTAAAGAGGCTAATATGCTCTCTGTGCATGAAATACCATTCTTTTTTCTCCTCCAAAGTAACTATGAGCACCTGTTCATGTACTCCAGAGGAAGAGAGTTTTGTTTTGCCTTTCGCCATGAAATGTCAAAATTGGTCCTTCTTTATGGCTGTTTTTTTAACCTAGAAATGTCCTCTGTGTCTTTTATCTTGTCAATAACTAACAGAAGTAGAATACTACAGGGTATACTTGACACTAGAGGACTTTTAAAAATCTATTTAAATAAAAAGATACAAACCTTCACAGTTACAAAAACACACAGTTTATAATGCAATACTATAAACAGTTAATTTAGAATAGGGCTACCTCTGCTACAGGCTAGCCAACAATAAGAAATCTTTGTTTATTAGGAATGATGGTTATCAGCAAGTAAATAAATCAGCTAACTTACAACTGTTAAAATAAAACCCTAATATCTTGTGAAAAATGAAAACCTTGTATTTTTAATAACATTATTTCATCACTAGAAAAGTCAAGCTATGGAAAAAGAATTTTCTCAGAAGCAATTCAATAAATGATCAATGCCATTCTTCAAGTGACACCTCAGGAAAGGAGCAGAAATTTAACACAAAAAACACAGAAAAAAACCCTTTTACTTACAGGTGCTTTTTTGTCGATTGGCTTTATAACAAATTTTTTGTCATTAAATGAAATATTTCGGATTTCACTCCAAGGAAAGCCAATTTTAGGTGTTAACCTTAAAAAACAAAATATTCCTTTAGTTAATGGCAGGGAACAATAGACAAAATTCATCACTTTCTGTGGTCAACTTAGCTGAATGACCAATCTTAAGAGTTCCAATTTTCAAAATACAGTATCTTATTCGTAGCATACAGCAGACATTGTCATTTAAAGGGAAATGTGACAAACTGTATCACATAAAATGATAACCATGCAAAGACTTCATAAATGTGCCCTGGACTTTAAAACCATTAGAGTCATTTTCCTAAAATTATGTAGAAAAGCTATCTGGTAACCAGAGCATAGGACCGAGATGTAGTAAGTTACTAAACATTAAAAAATTACTTCCTACTTAATTTAAAAATATTTCGATATATGAACATGTTTAAAACACTGAATTTCAGTATACCTTAAAAGGATTAATTTTATGGTGTGTGAGTTGCATTTCATTAAAACATGTACACCTGAATGGCTGGCTAAGTGGTAGAAGCGGAATTCAAACTTTAAGAGCCCCCCTCATTATCTCTTCCCTTTAGATGTGTCCTGTTTGGGAGACAGGGTGTCACTATATATCTCAACTTGGCCTTGAAAGTGCTGAAGTTGCAATTCTCCTGCCTCAGCCTCCCTAGTGCAGGAAATAGAGTGCTCTACTATGCCTGGCATTGTTGCCCCCTTTTACCACCAAAACAAAGATACAGGGAATCAAACTGGAGAAAGTTTCTGCTTTTTTGTGAATTTTACAGTTTCTGTAAAAATGCATCATTGTTGTTCCAATCATGGCTTAAGAAATGACTGATACCTACACTGGCAAAAAGGTATTTTAGTCAGACTTCTGATAATAGAACAAGAATTTCTACCTATTTATACACCTATTAACACTTAAACAGATAAGTATCACAGCTCAACAAATTATTTTTCTATATAAAACATTCTGTAATCAATATGCATGTGTTATACTGCCCCTAATAGCCTCTGAGATATTCAAAGTAACCTGCTTGAAAAGGAGGCTACAGGAACACGACTTTTTTTGGTGGTGGTGGAATTGGGGTTTGAATCAGGGCTTTGCACTTTCTAGGCAGGTGCTCTACTGTTTGAGCCACACCTCCAGTCCACTTTGTTCTGGTTATTTTGGAGATGGGGTCTTGTGAACTATTTGCCCATGTTGGCCTCAAACTGAGATCCTCTTGATCTCCTCCTCCCAAGTAGCTAGGATTGTGAGAACCACCACTGCCTGGCAACACAACACTTCTAAGGTAACAAAATACTATCTACATTTATGTACTACTTTGAAAAATTCTAAACCAAGTACCCCACGTATTTCTGGCAACAAATCTTGTGATACGAGCCTAGAAACCAACACAAAAATTTTTTAAAGAAGACTGCCAAGCATTATAGTGCATACCTCTAATCCCAGCACTCGGAAGGTAAGAAGAAGAGAGGCAGGAGGGTCATAAGTTTGAGGGCAGCCTAGGCTACAAAAGAAAAACAGGAAAAGAAGATTCACCCATATAAATGTCTTGAAGTCAATTTTGCTTTTCAAAAAATTTCCTCTTCTGATAAAATAGCATTCTAGCTTACTTTGTAATATACAAAAGTAAAACATAAAATTCTTTTGAGTCATTATACACGCTTTGAAATGTGTATTTTATTATATATGTAAAATGTGAAAGCCAAAATCCTGCAGTCAACTGAGAATAAAAAAACAAGGCATTGCTAGCATACTTGCCTACTTATATATAGCACTTGGAAAATAAAGGTTTAAAACAAGTATAACTATTATTCCTGAAAAGGGCGGTAAGGGTCTGATGTATTTATTTATATACATATATATACACATATTTAGCATATTGTCTATATATAGCATATATGTGTGTATAAGTAAATATAATACAGTATCAACTGTGATGAGTTGCTATATACAATACATAGTATATCTAACATAGTATGAATTAGTGACTGTGTGTACATACAAAATAAAAATTAAAAACTGGTCAATTTCAAAATATGATTACACTACTCATTATGCATAATTCAGGGCTATTCTATTCAACTGATGTCTAAGAACATTCAAAACCACTCCCATACATGTTTTTAAATAAATCTAAAATCCAATACACACACATCTATTAATTTTGGTCTCTAATTGCTCCTGATTTCTTATATGTTAACTCTGATGTCAGGCATAATATTTAAAGAATTATTCTTGACCTACTGAGGGAACAGATTTTAATTAAGTTACTAGACATAACTCACAAGAGACAAAGCAGCACACTTCAAATAAAAGTGAACTAAGAAGAACTCAAACTACAACATGTGACAAAACGGAAATACAGCATCTAAAAGTCTACATAGCATTAACTAATCTTCTAATGTGAAAGAAAGCAGTAATCGTAGTCAAGACAAGAAGGAACTTTAACAAACAACATGTAAAAGCCATTTAGACCACTGAATAACCAGTGACGAGCTCAGTTACTTACTTGTCATCATGCTCATAAATATTCAGACCCAAAGCATCAACGCCTAGCCATAACTCAGTACCCTTTTTATTTTTTATTTCAAAATAGTTGACGCCGTACATTTCTAGATCTTGTGCAATCTTCAAGTATTCCAGCATTGAGTCTTCCCTGTTGAAATAAAGCTAAATGTAACATGTTTAAGTCCAGGTATCTAAACATCACACTAAAACTTCCAAATTACCTTGGATGAAAACTTAGTGCTTCATGTTTACTCATAGATCAAATGATTTGGGGAGGATAATCTAATTTGATAATGTTAAAAAAAATTTTAGTGAACATACTTTTAACACGAAGAAAAGCAAACAGAAAAGTCCTCCAAGTACCTTAGCATCCCTCTGTGCTCTTCATGCCAGTTCTGTATTCTTTCTTCCCACTGTTCTTTTGTCAGTTTGTGCTGTTCCAAAACCCTGAAAAGGCAAAAAAGTCTATTATAATGCCTTTATGATTCAAAAACCAATATTCTTTTAGAAGTCTAGAATCCCTTTGGTAACTTGACTGTAGTGGCTGTCACACAAATCAGTACGTGTGACAAAGCTGCATAGAACGAAATACACACACACACACAAATTAGTGCATGCAAAACTGACAGAAAAAAACCAGGTGGGTGAATTCTGTTGATGTTGCATCTCAGCTGCCATACTGTACTAGTCATACAAGATACCAAGAGTGCAGGGGCTCAAAACCTATTCCAATTGGCCCACCTACCCTAGCTCTATGTTTCTGGAGAGCTTGTAGGAGGACTTGATATAATTAAGGAGCTGAAAGTGTCTGAAGAACTAAAAACAATTTGCCCCAAAGCTCCCAAATTAGAGGAAAGGCTCAAAGTGCTGACAAATAAAGCTTCTGTGATGCTCTTTATGAAAGGAGACAAACAGAAAGCAAAATGTGAATTCAGTAAACAAATTCTGGAAATACTGAATAGTATTCAGAAGTGTGGCAGGGACTGAAAGCATTCTCAAACTGGCCAACATACCCTCAGCTGTATGTGAAAGGAGAGCTTTTTGGAGGATTGGATATCGTTAAGGAACTCAAAGAAAATGGTGAATTCCTGCCTATACTGAGAGGAGAAAATTAAAGTGTTACACATGGCACCCAACAATTGCAAGGAGTGTTTAATTACAGTGGAGCAGTTCATAATATAGTCCTCGAAATGGACTAGGAATAGAAAAATGCTTCTCACTCAGCTTGCTTTGTGGATTTCACAAGGTTGTGCTAAATAAATGTATGTTACATTTTTTTCAAATTCAATTTAAAAAAAATGCCAAGGGTGAAGGGGGCTACATGGGACCACTCTTATTTTTATTTATTTTACAAGTACATCTCAATCTACAATGACCTCAAAATAAAGTTTCCAGATAGCTTAAATTAGTTTAAGCAATACATATTTAAAAATAGCTACTGTGAGGACAGTTTATAAGAATTTGAATGTTGAGTGAATAAAATTATTGGACCAAAAATAGCTTTCTCATTATTGACAGAAAAATTAAAGAAACTTGAGAATTAATTACTTTTATTCTGTATGTCTACTTCTTTTTGCTGTCATTTTTATGTAAGCAGTACTTTCAAAAAAACATGCACTGAAAAGTCTTATTTCTACCCAGTATCCCTCAAATAACTTTTTATTAATTTTATTTATTTTTTGGCACTGCCAGGGTTTGAACTCAGGGCCTTGCACTTGATAGACAAGCACTCAACCACATCAGCGCCTGTAGACCTTTTTAGATTTTATTTTTAGATAGGGTCTCTCACTTTTTGCCAGAGGTCCACCTTGGATCTTGATCCTCCTACCTCTGCCTCCCATAGCTGAGGTTACAGGCATGTGCCACCAAGCCCAGCCTCAAATACTATTTTAGTTTATTTTGTATCTTTCTAGTGTTCATGACTCAAACCTCAACTATAAACTAATACAAACATTGCTATTTTCTACTACTTTATTTATTTATTTTTTTGGCAGTGCTGGGGTTTGAACTTAGGGCCTAAACCTTGAGCCACTCCACCAGCCCTTTTTTGTGAAGGGTTTTTTCAAGATAGGGTCTTGTGAGCTATTTGCCTGGGCTGGCTTCAAACTGTGATCCTCCTGATCTCTGCCTCCTACATAGCTAGGATTACAGGTGTGAGCCACTGATGTCCAGCACTACTATTAATATTTTAACACCAAATCAGCAAATCAACACATTTACAATTTACCTGCCTTGCACAACAGAGATGCTAATTTTGATTCTCTGGGGGTCATATATTAATTATCCACTTTTCTTTCCTGGTGAATCCTTAGATCCACTTTACTAGTAGCAAAAGCTGTGGTATTACAATACTATTGTTTTACTATGCAAAAACTCTGCATGAAATCCAGGGGTGTCTTGGCAGTATTGAGGAATTTGAGAGATACAATCTTCTGTGGACAAGCTAGGCACAACTTACTTGATGAAGTCTGGCCATTATGTCCTACACACTGCTCCTTCCCGTATGCATCCTCTTTCAAGCTCTTGCTCTTGCAGAAAGGAGTGGTCTCTCCCTTGTCAGATATCTTACACTTTCACAGTTTGCCTCAGATGCTCTCGTGCTGTCTGGCATCTGGGCTCACCAAGAAAAATGCAACTAGCCTTGGAGGCGTAACCTCACAGATCCAAAAGCTTGCCATTCTATGCCCAGTGCCACCACACAAGATTATTCCAAAATGTGTAAAATGAATAAATGAATTAAAATAACCATTTTCCCCTTTCAAAGAACTTGAGAAACCCCAGGCCCTAGTTTTTTTTTTTTTTCTTTTTAAGAACCAAACTTATTTGAACTGTGCACATTCACTAACCTTATTTTCCATTATCTGACATCCACTATCCCCGACCCACTACCATCTGCTTCAGCCCCAAACACTCTACTGAAACTGCTCTTATTACAATCAATACCAATTCCTAATTCCAACAGATTCTCTAGTTTCTCCTCATACTCAACTTTGTACCTTGCCTTCTGTGACACAGCACTCTTGTTTTTCAGTATTTCGTCCAAGGGCCTCTTCCTCGGCACTTCAAGTTGAGGCCCAATGAGGTCTGTCCTACATCTTTTTCTTATTTTGTATCTATTTCCAAGTGTCTCTTCACTCCCATGGGTTAATCGCCCTCTATGTACTGATTATTCCCCAAGCTATCTACAGTTGAGACGTCTCCAAAGGATCTGGGGCCACATAATGCAAAGGAACACTAGATCTCTCTCTGGGTTGTAGTTTACGTGTTTACTCAGTAATCATCAGCTCAATCTACCCTCCTCCCAAATTTATTTTTCTTTTCCTTATCTTGATAAAAAGTATTAATAACAACCTAGCTATGCAAGACAAACCTAGCAGGTAAAATTATATTTAGCTCTTTTTCAGAGAGAAGAAGTCTGGCTGAGCTGATTATCCACATCCTCAGAACCTAACATGTCCTATGAGGACAAGATGGCTCATCTAGGTTTTCAATACAAGAATAGTAAAACCTTCCTCCAAGTTCTGAAACAAAGATGTAACATTCTTTCTACTATCACTGATATGTCTGCTATTAAAATTAACTGACATTTAAAATATTTGACCTTGTATTTTCTAAATTTCATAAATACCAGCAAATAACACTTGTATCACATTTATAGTCAAACTGTAAATCATACAGTGCAAATGAATTGTATTTACAGACTCCAACTTAGGCAGAGCAGAATTAGTATCCCACTTTACAGATTTAGATACTAAGGCTCAGAGATTTTAGGTTATACACTTAAGATCATGTAACTAGAAAAGGGTAGAACCTAGGTAGAAAGCCTAGATCAGTGATTTTATTAGAAAAGCAGCACTACATGTAAGACTGGAATAGAACACTAGCCTAGGAGTCTGAAAACCTAATTTAAAAGCTAAAAACTACTCTCCAAAGCATTTATTTAAGAACCTATCAGTCTGGGTTGGAATTTTTACTAAGCAGCAACAGTTTATATCCTTCCCTCAAGCCCAAATCATCAGAGCCTCCTTTTATTGCCGATTCTAAAGACAAGGAAAGAGAAGTGGCAGAGCAACTTGAGGCAATTCTAGGACACATAAATCTTTGTAGCAGCTAGCTCATGATTTGTAAAAGTATACTCTCTGATCCAGCTGGAAACTGTAAACTCTCTCAAAAAAAAAAGCTTAATTAAATTTACAAACTTGTGGAGTATAATTTTCAGAGAATATAGCATAAGGCACGCTTCACTTACCGCTGGGGCAGGAGTCTGTCATTAGCAAGGTAGCCTGGTTTGTGAATCTCTCTATTATAATCTCCGCATTTGGCTTGGACAGCATAGGAAGCCAGAAGAACTGCAGTTTCTGGTGGGCAATATATCTCATCATTTAAGATGGCTTCTTTAACTTGCAAGAAGAAAAGTCTCTGGGTTATTTCTTGAATTAATTCCTCAGAAACATCTTCAGGAAAGAATTTAGCTCTGAACTTGAACTGTAAAGGATTCTCTTTTTTAACATCTTGTTGTGTCACCTAGAATGGTAATTTCAAGTATAATCAACAAAAACCTTGTATTCACAATAATTGAAATCAGTCACATTGAATTCTTTTTGAAAGAAACTGGAAGTCAAATAAAAAGACGAAATCTATGTAAAGATTCTAAATCTGTAAACAAATACATGTGAGAAAAAGATCCTTTGCTGGCTGGTAGAGGCCACCTGTCACTCACAGATCTACTCAGTAGCCAAACTGAAAACCTCTCTTCACATTCCTGGGAAGCTTGTCCTACAAATGTTTAAATCGAGGCTCAAATACTTAATTACATCACATGCAGTACTGCTTTAAATTAATCTCTCTAGCATGCTAAGTTTTCAAATAAGAAAAGTGAGTGTGTCCTTTTCTAAGATAAAAAGTTGATGGTGCCTAAATGAGTTTAAAGATCCAATGCCAATAATGACAGAGAGAGGACAGCAAGGAGGCCCAGGGTCCTTCCAGCACATTCATTATTATACACATTAATTTAGTTTTATATACACATTTTACCTTTTTATTCAGTTTAAGCCAAGTAGAATAGCCTTTGCTGTCAACATACTGCAGCCCAAAAAACCAGACCTCACGCAAACCAACTGTTTTCACGACCTAAATAAAAAAATAAATAAATTCAGTTCAACATTCCCATTGTAACTAGATGTCACTTGATACTCTATGTCAGAAAAACAAAACTACATAGGTATAGGTGTATTCCTTTGCCACAGAAAAGATCTTTCCTAAATGTAATGTATTCAAGGAGCATTCCTGAAAACTGAAATTCAGGTTTTCTGTACTTATTTTGTAGTGTCATTTCAATATTCTTACTTGATTGGTTTTTTTCTATTTCTTTTCCTCAGCTTCCACCACAACCTCAACAAATACAAGTCTGAAGAATAAATGTACAGATGTCATAATCCTACATTGCTATTTAAATTTAACCACAAAAGCACTCTACATTTAGGGAAAACAGTATGATGTGGGTGATAAGAAGACTCCGATATATTCAATTTCTACCTTCACCAAGACATGGAGCCTGCTGTAAATTTCACCCTTTTGCATCTTTACTTTTGCTTTTTTTCCTCTGTCTAGGTTTCTTCTCCACTTTTATCACCTACCGAATAATTTATTCTTCAAGACACAGCTCAACTAACAGGTCTTCTGTGGATAAAGCTCTTCTGTCACCTAGATAAAGTTAATCACCTGTTCCTGATGCCCCCATGATACTTTATACTGTTACTAAAACACTTATTTTATCCTATCACCATTAACAGTATTATTAGTAGTGTTCCTATGTACTCTCTTTCACTGTATAACACTTAAGGACAGAGATTATTATTTTATTCATCTTAATAGCCACGTATTCTCATAAAATGATTGGCCTGTGGTAAGCATTTAGAAGTCATGGAACAAATTAAGTGGTAGAACCAGGGTACACCCAGGATATACCACACATAACAAAAGCACTTGTCTGAAAAAAAACAAAAACAAAAACAAAAAAACTGTTTAAAATAAAATGAGGGAACTGACCCAGGGAAGGTGAGAGTTCATTCCACATTTTAAAAGCATTACAAAAAAAGATTTAATATCAGTTCTTAAATGATAAACACGCTTGATTTGCTTTTTAAGATAATCCTAAAATACTCCAGGCTTTTGGTTTCCAAACAGCAAATAGAACCCTTCAGTTTACATTCCCTCACTTGGAAAACTTCACTGAAATGATACACATCAAAGAATATAAAAAATACAAAACCATTTAGCTGTGCTAAGAAATGTCATTCTCATCAAAACAAGGCACATTTCTGGAGGTTATGGAATATAAGACATACTAACAACACAAAAGCTGACCACTGCCAAACCATGAAAAACTAAATGTGATCAGAAGATCCCAAATACCTTAACTTCAGCAGAGCCTCAGTAGGCATTGAAGCCCAGAGCAGCAGCAGTGAGCCCAAGCACGGGCCTTAGCAGCTGCACAAACTCTGTGAGAAGATCAGTGCTAGTTGAGTAGAGGGGAAAGGGACAGGACCTTAAGGAACTTCAGACTGTCACAACACACTACCACAGGGACCCAGAGAGCCCGGCTAGAAATTCCCTGACAGGCCAGAGCTCCCCAGTGGCTCTCTTCTTAATTCTTCTAGAGGTGCAATCAGAAACTTTCGATCATCTACCTTTATAAATAAAAAATGCTGGCTTAAAACTACAGTATACATAACTATGCTAATAAACTATAAAGCATGTATTTTAAAAAGGATTTGAAGGGGACAGAAAAATGTAAACAAACAGTTTAATATTTCTTGCACCTAACAGATCCTGCATATTCCTTGGTACGTGAATACTCTGTATTTTAACTCCACAAAGAAGAGCTGGAGAACGCTAGTGAAGGAAGAGTCAAATACACAGCAAGTGGCCTTCATCTAAAATCATAATCCAAAGTGGAACTTTGTCTGTAATCCTAGCTAAATCAGAGATAGGAGGACTGCAGTTCAAGGCCAGCTGGGGCAAAAAGCTAGCAAGACCCTATCTCAAAAACAACCTGGTAGTGATGTTTCATGCCTGTAATCCCAGCTACTTGGGAGACAGTACGTGCAAAAGCATGACACCCTATCTGAAAAACAAAGTAAAAGCTAAAGGACTAAAGGTGCTTAAGAGGCAGAGCACCTGCCTAGCAAGACTGAGGCCCTGAGTTCAATCCCCAGCACTGTAAAAAAAAGTGGGGATTTGCTCCATGTACCTAGGCACTCTCATCTGAGAGGACCAAGTCTGCTCCTAGCTATCAACTAGCCCTCATATACACTACGCCCAAGGCAAAGCCTGTTAGATTCTTGCAGCTGGGCTCAAGAGAAGTAGTTGAGAAACAGAACAGTGACTGAAGTGATGGTGAGAAAAGCCTGATAACAACACTCAATAATCTAGACCATCAATTACAACAGGAACGTGCACACATGGAACTACCATACACTGTTCCATGCACTTCACAAGGGTTTCACCTAATTCTCAAAAACAATACTCAGGGTAGCAGTGTCATCCTAATTGTATAAATGAGGAAAATGAGTCCAAAGTCAGCAGCTACAGCTGAGTGTCCTAAAGGCAGGGTACTCCAGAGCCCGTCCTTTTGAGCTACTACATATTACTGCACCGTAATAAATGAGGCTTCTGGTATTCAAATCAAAGTAACCCAGGTCAAACACGGTGGTGTACGCCTCCAATCCTGGCTACTTAAGAGGCAGAGATTGGGAGAACCTCAGGTTAAGGTCAGCCCAGGCAAAAAGTTAGGAACATCCCATTTCAACAAACTGAACGTGATGGCACCCACCCATGATCCCAGCTTTACCGGAGACGAAGGAATACTGAGGTCCAGGCTGGTCCCAGGCAAAAAAAGAAAAGATAAAGACCCTATCTGAAGAAAAACTAATAGAAAAAGGGCTGGGGGCATGGCTCAAGTAGTAGAGCACCTGCCTAGCAAGCACAAGACCCTGAGTTCAAACCCAGGACCACCAAAAAAAGAAAAAAATTACTTCTCAATATCTAATACCAAAAAGGTTCACTTGTTAATTAGTTGTTGGTGATCACAAATGCTTTGCTTACTATTCATAACATTCCAATTTTACTACGAAGTACAATAAATGCTAACTCCATTCACATTTTTATTCAAATAAAACACAGACACATACAAAAAGACAACATTTATAAACAAAAAGCTGAGAAAAATCAACACAAGTTGACAGCAGTTCACAGGGTATGGTGTGCATAACTGCTTATGATTTTCCTTTAAAAACGTGCTTGTGCATACACGTACAAAAAAGCCTTTTGTCTTCCAAAAAGACTTCTCAAGGCTTTAAACTTCACTAATTATCTAATTAGGAAATTGAAAAACTTTTCAAGACTTTAAAAATTTCATCATATTCTAAATCAGTATGTGATGGGATGACACCTAGTGAAAATAAGACAGCTAATGTCATTCACTTCTCAATACTAGAAACTCATCCTTCTAAAGAATAATCAAGTTCATCTGACCACAGACTATTTATTGCTCTCCGCCTCCTGTGTAATCACGTAAATGTGATTCTCCTCTAAGTCTCGTGTAAGATATGTCACCTTCTTCTCCAGTAAGAGTCACCATATTTGCCTTCTAGGCACCAATCTCTTCCTTTTCTCAGTAAAACTTGACAACTTCCAACATTACAATACAGCATTACCTGGGGAACTTACATTTTAGAATAGTTAATAGTTTAGAGTAGACCCAAACAATTATATCAATCTCTGGAAATGGTTTCTAAGCACTGTTTGTTTTGTTTTCCCTTTTTCTAATAAAAAGCTCAGGCCCTAGTAAAAAAAACCAAAAAAACCAAGATCAATAGTCTAAGTTCCTTAGCATGACATACCTGACCTCCACATGCTAACCCCCTGCCTAGCACATCAAGAGCAAAGACACCAAGCCACGACCAGCTGTCTCCTTACCATGTGTATGTAATTCCCTATCCTCGGCAACTGCTGCCCCATGTCAAAGATCTCTACCCATTTCACTCAGGACTATGTGGGATGTCTTTCAGTCACCATTACGATGGTTTTCATAGCTGATGGTAAATAAATAAATACCTGCTGGATTTTTAAAAAACGTATTGGCAGTATAGTAGTTATACAGGGGGATACATTGTGGTATTAACATGTGCTTACAATGTATCTTAGATTTGCCCTCTCCATCTTTCTTTTTTATCCTCCTCCCCCACTTCTTAGAACAATTTCAACAGGTTTCATTCTTCTATTTTCAAATATGAATACAAAATACATCTGCCATATTCACTCTCATTCACCTTTTCCTTGGGCCCACCCCCTCCCACTGGTATCCGCTCCTGGAAAAGGCCTGTTTTACCCTCCTGTCTTTCATTTGTTTTTAAAGTATATATTGATAGTTGGGGGAGGGGCGCTTCCTTGGTACTTCAGTCCTGTATATACTATGCTTTAATCAAATTAACCCCCCCACCAACATTACTTACTTATTCTCTATCACCATCCCCTAATATTCACCAGCTTACAGTACAGTATATGATATTCATATATAGGTGGGTTACTGGAATATTTTTTCATTCTCTAACATTTTCTTTCCGTCTCCTGCCTCCTGTAGTCCCCTCAGACAGACTAAAACAATTGTCTTCTCTCTCACTATATATATGTGGGTTTGTGTGTGTATATAGCATTCATATATATATATGTATATATTATATATGTATATACATATGGACTTACAGGTCTAGCTTCCACAAAAGAAGGAAAACATCCAACCACTGACTTTTTGAGCCTGGGTTACTTCCCTGCTGATAATTTTTTAAAAGTTCTATTCTATGACAACAGGGATAGAACTGAAAGACATCGCATTAAGTGCAATAAACCAAACACAGAAAAACAAGTACTGCATAATCTCACTCATTTTTAGAACCTAAAATGTTAACTTCACAGAAGTTGAGATTAGAGTGGGGATTTACCAGAAGCTGGAGAGAATCACAAGGAGAAAAGGATGGTGAAGAGAACAGTCAGTTGTAGTTAGATAAAAGAAGGAAGTCCTGCTGTGCTATTGCACAGCAAGGTTATTATACACATCAATATCGTACTGTACCTATCAAAAAGCTAGGATTTTGAATGGTTCCACAATAAAGACATGACAAATGTCTAACCTGATTTAAACATTATACATAAATTGAGATATCACATTATACACAATTTTTGTTTTCATTTATGAGTTTTTAAAAATAAATTTAAATTTTAAAAAAAGGTCCTATCCCACAAATGTAGGAATGAGAAAAAATAAAGAATATCCCTACAGTTATTCATAATATCTGAACAGGTACTGTGAAAACTTCCAAGTGCTACATTCTTTGATGGTCAATGGAGGTATGGGATGGTTCATGTGTCAAGTGATACCTGGTCAAAAAGTTGTTTGCCAGTTGTATTGGGCTGAATGGCAAATTCCAGCTCTGCATCCATTGTAGTTACTCGCACATTGATCTGTAATAATAAAACCAAAAGGGACAGTCATTAGGTTGTTTACATTACTATAAACATTCTTGTACGTCTCTTAGTACATATGTACCTCTTACTTAACCAAGCAAGCAATGTGAAATTGTCTTACAGCATGATCAGCTTATACTCCTATCATTAGGTTTTTTTTTTGAAACTTAACTGCATTTTTATTTTCAAAAGGTATTAATATATAATTCTGATGTTTTTAGAACACCATTTTTTAAAAATTTTATTCATTTGTGCATACAATGTTTGAGTCATTTCTCCCCCCTTTCCCCCTCTACCCCCTTGCTACTAGGCAGAAACTACTTTGCCCTTATCTCTAATTTTGTTGATGAGAGAGTATAAGCAATAATAGGAAGGACCAAGGGTTTTTGCTAGTTGAGATAAGGATAGCTATACAGTACTCCTATCATTAGTGCACAAGAATTCTTGCTGACCTCTCTCTCGTCCCCTACTTTTTGTTTTTTTTTTGTCATAGTGAGGTTTGAACTCTAAACCTTGCCCTTAGTAGGCGGGCACTCTACCACTGAAGCCACACCCCCAGCCCCTTTCTCCTTTAGCTGTTTTGCAAACAGTGTCTCAATTTTTGCTAGGCGCCAGCTAACCTGGGCCTCCGCTCTATTTTAGGTCTCCCCCATAACTGGGATGACAGGCATGCACCTATGCCCATCTTATTGATTGAGATGGAGGTCTTGCCAACTTTTTGCCTACACTGGCCTCAAACCACAGTCCTCCTGATCTCTGCCTCCCAAGTAGCTAGGATCACAGGTATAAGCCACTGTGTCTGGCCCTGTTAACCTATATTTTCACTAACAGTGAATATGATCAGATTTATTAATCTTGACAATTTAGTGAGTATAAAATGACATATGGTCTTAAAAATATGGATCCTTGGTTGCTGATGAGCTTGAGAACATTTTTGTATATGTTGCATACAGAATTCTAAAATGATCCCTTGATTTCTGTCCTCTGGTGTTTCACCAGTAATTCTGTCATAGTATATGATAAAAAAAAAAAAAAAGGATTACGCAGATTACTTAAGGTTACTAATCTGCTGACCTTACCACAGGAATATTAATTATTTAGGTGAGCCTAAGCTCACTGAGATTGAGCCTTTCAAAGCAGAGTTTTCCTCTGACTGGCTGCAGAGTAAGAGAGATTTAAAGTAGGAGAGGAATTTGGCAAGTAGGAGGTTCTCCATTCCAGAAGTGAAGGCAACCTTTGGCAGGAAACTGTGACAGGCCTCTAGGAGGTAAAGTGGCCCTAGGTCAACAGTTAGCAAGAAAATGCAGACTTCATCCTTCAAACAGAAGAATGGACCATTCTGTAAGGTGATGGATATTACAATAACAGTAATGAGGTTGGAAATGGTCCCCAACTCAA